CGGTCAGACGAGCAAAGTATGTTCTGCTCTCCCTCTTCTGTTTAGTGGTGTCCGGCTGGTTTCTAAGCCAAATGGCGTGTGTCTGCTACATTTATTCGATAGTGAGGATGGCCACCGGTGATAACCAGGGCCAAACAGTCGAATTGAAACTGCACCTTGCTGGAAATAAAATGAATGTCTTATGCAGCATACGGCATATGTAATTTCTTTTTTTATCTGGCCCGCTGAGCGTTGAGTCGTGCACCTCAGGACTAACAAAGTTTCTCACACATATATCCATCTGACCACCACCACCAAACTTCATCTGATGCTACTGCGTGAAGTGAATGATACAATAGGCAGGTACAGTAGAATCTTGATGATACGATTACAGTTGATGCGAATTTTGCGATGATACGAATTTTAAGGTTGTTTCGAACAGTCTGTGCGATTTAAAATAGGCAGTCATTCGTTCATATACTAATAGTTTCCCCAGCAGCCGCAGATAACATGTGTGAATGACCATTTCACACAAACGACACAACGCGGAGTGGCCATCGGCCCAACCACCGCGGCTGCTGGCGTTTTTTTTCCACCCCACTTTTCTTCACCCCTTGCGCTGCCCTAGCCGTGCAAACAGGCGCTTTAGCACAAACAGCGAAAAAGCGTTGCATTCTCTGCTCGCCTGCTCCCTGCCGCTGCGCCGTGTCCCACCCTAAACGCCACTTCTCCTAAATGCCAGCTTTCCCAAACGCCAGTTTTGCTGCTCGAACTGCTGTGTTCGTATCTTCTTGACTTTTTGGACTGCCTAAGCTTGCCACATACCGGAAGACCGAAGCATTCGTTTTGTCTGCTGGGCGCGCTACATTTTCTTGGGATGTCCTGGGATAATGTGACGCTGGACACGATCACAAACTGTTTTTGCAAGTGTGGATTCCTGTCAGGACAAGTTGCGGCTCCGACAGAAGATAACAAAGAGCCTGATGCTGATAAGTTCATTGAGGGTTGGGAGAATCTCAAAACTGAAGCTTCGGTGCGAGACTTCGTCACTACGATAACCTTGCGACCTGTGGACTGCGATCTATTGAAGAACTGGTTGACGAGGTTAAGGAGACTGAATCCTACAGTGATGGTGACGCCGAAGTGTGTGACCGGCCATCAACGTCTGAAAACCACCACACCCTCGAAGTCCTGCGCTGCACCGTAAGCGCCGGCAACGTGAGTGAAGAAACTGTGGCATGGTTTTATGTCTTTCAGGCGGCGTTCTTAAAGGACGGCAAAAGCAGAAAAGTGCAAAAAAACATTGTGAACTTTTTCAACAAGAAGTGATTGATCGCAATAAAGCTGTCGTTCATCTTCATGATCACCTGTATCTTGTATTGGTTCATACGAATTGGGGATGATACGAATATCTTCAGTGTTCCCTTCGAATTATTTATAAGCAAGTTTGGTATAAAAGAAAGCTGCCTTCTCCACAAAATCTGTGCGGGGGCACGTTCACCTATGACTTTAAACTGCTATAAAAGATTCTTTGACGGTGAATACTTTATACTGAGATGCCTTCATACTGAGATGTCAATAATTGCTAGGCTTTCATGTGCCAAACAAGATATTATTTTGACGCATGCTGCAGTGTGGGCATCGGGGTGTATTGTGGTCACTTGGGGCTTCCCAGTGTGCACATATATCTTTGTGTTTCACCCTCATCGAAGTGCGGCCGTTGTAGTTGGGGATCTGTGATGCGCCCTCAAGCATAGATAGCAGCGTGACACAACACATGCTCTACTGCCACCGTGATTTGCTTGACCAACGTCATGTATGTATTTTGGCGCACACCCGGTCTTTTATTAATGCATTCTGAATAAACCACGTGCAAATGCCAAATGCAAATTTGTGCCTCGCGGTGAGCACTGGTGATACCTGCAAAGTGCAGAATCAAAGAGCAGACGACCTGTGTGGCTTTCCCCGATCCAGAGGTGCAACATCTGCGCCAATTTGATACAATTCTTTTTTGTTACGCGAAGCTGCACCAAAACCACGAAATTTGCTGCAATTACACCATGCTGTGCCAAAATGCCCGACCAGCCTCAGAATTATCTCACGTGCGTTAATTTTAGCGCGAAATGGAGGCCACATTGGCCACCCGCACTTGGCATTAACAATCAAAACAAGCGGCAAACCTTAAAACACGGTGTAAGTTATATACTCGTTAGGCGAGGACACTAGCGATCGACCATACAAAGTATATAATGAAGTAACAATGCCGCATGCCCATCGGTCCGCGGACCATAGCGCATACCTATTGGCAGGTCGATAAAACATCAAGCAAAAAAAAGCATTGCTGCAGCCACCAACAATTCCAGGGAAATATGACTTTCCTAGTCGGCAAATGCGGATATGGCATGTTAAGAACGTAGGCCGCATTCTCCACTCACGAACAAGGTCAATGTTTCGCGAGCACCGCAATTTCCAGCCACCACGTTTGTTGTCATAGCAGCGACACATAAATAGTTTTTCTGGCTTGATGTTGTGTTGTCCTGGCAATAAATTTTCGTCGCTGGTCCGGTGGGCGCGCACCGTTGTTACTTTATCTGGTCGAATGCGCCTTGCAAGCAAGCCAAGAAGTTGGGCCCTAAACATCACCAACTGTCAAGGAAAAAAAAAAAAGTTGGGGCAGGGGTCCGTGGGGAGTGGGGTAAGGATTAGAAAATTTCTTGGCCTTGTTCTAACTCGCGCAGAACGCTGCTTAAGTCACTTTTGCTGCAGTACACTGGTGCCTGCAAAAAAGTGTCTTGGGATTCGGAAAGAGTCGTTAGGGCTAGTCGCAGAATGCAGCACATTTTGTTAAAATACTCATGCGTGTATGTGCCGCGTAATTGTGAGTACTAGTGTGATCGCTGGCATTTAAAAGAGTTGCTGACAGTCATTTGGAGCAGCAAATGACACTTCTGCTGCCCCCCCCCCCCCCCTCAAAAAAAGAAAGCCTTGTACCCCAGATTTTCTTTCGTCATTCCTACTTTTCAGTTTTACAAATCTCCTGAATTTCAAGGACGCCAGCTTGGCTGAGCCACATTTGAATTTGCAGTGTCTGTCAAAGGATTCTGCCGGCCCGGCAAATGTTAATGTGGACTTCATTGTTTACTCAGCAGGGTAATTCAGAATACTACCTTTATTGAAATAGCAATGCTCCTGTTCACTATGCACGATTAGATGGGTTGAATTTTTCGTACATATATTTTTTTAAATGTAAGCCTTCTTTTTCGAACTGCTCCAAATTTGGTCTTTCATGAAAAAGTTTTTCGCGTAACCTGCTCCAAGTTTGGATTTTTGTGCTTCAAAAGTAGCATTTTGCTACTCCGAAAATTGCTCCAAATTTTATGTTGGCTGTTGCATCCCTGCCAATGCGTGCGTGCACGTAAGCGATGCGATACGAAAACTTCCACTGACACGCCGAATTTGTTGCCCTGGGAAGCCGATAGTTGTGTGCAGAACATTGCGAACCATTGTGACTCTGTCACTGCTGGGACGATACTGTACAGTATGCACGCATTTGTCATGACAGTGTTCTTAATGCCCACTTTACTCCTGAGCGCACAGGAGCGCAGTGATGGCCAGCTTCTTTCAGTTGTAGAGGTGGAGCGTCTCTGCGGCATACTAAGCAATCTTTCTCAAAGAGACAGCAGCGTAAAGAACGGTGGTGCAGCACGTTTGGGTTGTCACATACTGCATGCAGTACACTCATAACAGTGCTAGGCCTCGTGTACTACCCAGCACTTCGCTTATCGTGAAGGGTTTTCAGCAATTAGTCACACTGGCATGTTTTCCGCCTCTTGTTATCACATCTCTGCGCACTTCCGGTGCTTATCCATAAAGGCATCATCGGACTGCGCCGCTATAGTGGCCCCTTTAAATTTTTGGTCGGTTTCACCCTATACCATCAAGCATTGTGGCAAAGCTGACTTTGGGACATTGGCTATGATAGCAAACACTTCAACTTGCAAAAGCGCTGATTCAGGCATACGTGAAGGTTGTTTCGAACATGTGGGCAGGGATTTCAAAACATCCGACACCGAAACTATTCTGTGTCTGAAATTTAAGACATCATTACACACTGGCTTGTTGTGGCGGTGCCATGAAAGGATCTGAATTTTCTTGAATATCTGAAAAGTTGGGCAGCCAAAAAACTGTATTTGTGTATTTAAATGGCTGGCATGCGTGCTGCGGCCTGCGGAATGAGCATCGACATGGCTATTAGACGTTAGCAATACGCCAGCGGCAGTGAAAGACAACCCAGCCAACTTTGGAATTCACAAGTCCAGGAAACATCCCGCGTGGTCATCGTATGGTAAATGTAGTGATTATTTTTGTAGATGGGATGACACTTCAGGCACTCCTTACTTTTGGGCTAACACACTAACTGCCTTGTATCCAAAAATGTTCCTACTGAAATGGCCAAGCAATTATCACGAAAGATATTCAAAATATACTAAACATTTTGTTATGGTCACAGGCAGTATTTTAATAAGTATTTGGCCGACGAGCTCAACAAGCCAGATGTTGTATTTGATTGTTGTAGATAAAACACCTTTTAAAAAAGGTGCAATCATGGAGGTTTCTGTAAAGTATTGTGTACAAGTATGGACACACTCATCTCTGATAATCATGTCATGCTCAGTCATTTGATAATGGAGTGCTGTGGTTCTATATTTCACCATTCCCTTTTTTGACTAAATACCGTCAGGTTAGCCACAGGGGTTATTGATAATTGTATGTTGTTCTATATTTTTATTATGCTTAGCTTACAGCACATTGTGCATTTATCGCTCGTATGTCGTGAACACAGTACGTGTCTTAAATTTGCTTCAAGCAATACCTGCTCGGAAAGCCAGTTCTGCTGCTCCAAAGCAGCCTAAGCCAGTCGCATAATGTCATGGTTTAGAGACTGCGTGCATGACACGCATTTTCAGTGGGTGAGCACCAAGCAGAGTACCCGTGGCTAATGAAGGCTCCACTATGTGCAGGAATGGTGACAAGCGGCCATTCCCGCTAAGCCCATTCCTAGAGACGTCACAGCTAGAGCTGGACCATCTACGTCAGGTGGCCGACTTTGTGCTAGCGCTGCTGCTGCCATCGGAGTATGCCCTGTGCATTTCTGTGCGCCATCTGCTGCGTGAAATCCTGGCCTGCTTGGGTAAGTGTGGCTTTCTATTGGGTGGGTGAAAGTGTCATGCCGTGCAGCATGTTGTTGTGTCCGAGAAATGCTTTGTGGTTATAAACAAAAGCGTGTGTACAAAGGACAGCTCTAAGTTCAAGCTCAAAAATATCGGCACACCTGAGGACAAATTTGCAGAGGATCGCAAACTGACATGCCACCTGGGAGTGAAGGCAGAAAACACATTGCATTGCCACAATTGCTGCAGTCTTTCCTGTAATTGCAAGAGTTGCTGCTGAAAGAAGTTTGTTAAACAAAAACCAAACAGTTCTTTGGCCGTAGCATTGTCTGTAGGCCACAAATGTCAACACCGAAACATTGCTTGTGGGTTTGTTAATGCAGCACACAGTGTATTAGCTACTTTCCTGCATACATGTGCCACTGCTGTCAGCCAATGGTATGTCCAGATTCGACCCACGGGAAGGTTGGCTCCAGCATGTTGCAGGCTTTGTTGCATTTGTTCGCGACATGCACAGGTTCACTCGCCACATTTTTCAAAGAAGCGACTCGGTACAGGAAGGCTTCTTTGTGGGTACTACGAATTACAAACTGTGCCCTGTAAGGCCATTTTCGCCTCATGGTACACTTAGCGAGAGCCGACGCTGTGGTGTCCAGGGTCTTTAGGCCTGGGAGGTGGGTGCTGGAGGAAGTCATATTTCACTCTCGTTTTGGGTTTGGCAACGTGCATAGACCGACATATCCTGCATGCAGCGTTCAGGGAGAGGGGGGGGGGAGAATCTCATGTGGTGAGTCAAACGTAGTTGACGTTGCATTTGCAGTACATTATATCTGTTGAATGCGTGTTGTTTTGGCGTCATGTTACTAGTTATTTATTGGATATAACTGGCAATGTCACTGCTGTAAAATCAGTTAATGTCTGCATGTTTGTTTGTTGCATGAGCTCAGTGCACTGGTCTAGCCCTGCAGACATAGACCATGAAGAATGTATGTAATTTTAGAAAATTAGTTTTCTTAGACTTCATGCTACATGAATTTCGGATGGATAAAACTGCTGTTTCCTCGAACTGTGATGGACCCGTTCATAGAGTGCTACATGAACATTTCCCATGAGTTTTGTTTTTTGGCAGTCCAGCTGGAAGAAGGGGTCTGTGCTGGTATTGGGCAGCTACTGTGACTACAGAGGCAAACTGCTCATGAACTGGAATGCTAAACTGAGGGCTAAATAATGGCTGTGCTCCATCTTCAGTGTGTATTGTGTCAGTGAAGTTTTGACGCAATCTTTTTCATTAGTTCTACCTACAGTAGCTCTATTCATAGAGTCACGATATACCAAGTAATTGCAGTCTTTATGCTAAAGGGTCTGCTGTCGCCTGTCAGTCCATGGGCACTGTACACTAAAAACACTGAGATGTTTGGCTATAAGGGGTACATGCCAAGCCAAGTGCATACATATTGCTTGAGGACACACAAAAGATACTTGGGGTATTGCATAAGTTGTGCAGAATGAATTTGTTGCATTTCTTAGGATATCACAGAAGAGGATTTCAGGAAGACCAAACGTCCAACTGTACAAAAATTTCAAAGCTCTTTCAAAATCTGTGGCTGCTTCTGAGCAGGGCAGATAGTCCATTGTATTGATGAGAGTATAAATGTTCCTTAGCTGGCAGATAACGGTTGGTTGTCTTGTGGCATTGTCATTGTAGAGTCATCATCATCATAATTTATCAGCCGCCGCTCCATGTCTCTCGCTACCACGTGGCTGAGAAATGATGATTATGAATGATGACAACGCTACAGTCATGATTGTAACTGCGCACTGAAATTCAATGAATGCTCAATTGTGTACTGGCACAAGAAAGAGCAAGCACATCTGATGGTTGTCTGAGCCAGTCTTTGAGAGCAGGTGTTGCACACAAAAATGTAAATTTCTCATATTTGGTTCTCATTATTTGATTTATACCTGAAGAAATTTGCAGAGCTCCTCGATTATACAGTGGCCCATGTGCAACTTGACGGTTTTTAAACTGTCGCAGGGGTGTAGTGGTCAGAAAACTGACCCAAAGGTTGTGAGATCGAATGCTGGAGGACTGTCTAGTTATTTGCCCATTCAAGAACCACAGCTGGTCGAAAAATTTTTAGAGCCTTCCTACAGTGTGTCTCATGTCGTTGTTTTGAGTGTAAAAGCTCAACAATTACTATTTCAGTTTTCCAGCCGACGGTTGACCTGATAACCGATCCTGACTACATCAACCAGAAGCTAATTGCTTACCTTCAATGGCTTCAAGCAGAAAATGAAAAGCATAGTCGAACGTACGCCTATGCCGAGACATGGGAGGATTTCATTTTTGTTATCGATACTTGCACAGACGTCCAGGACTTGAAGCGTATGCGGTGAGCTTGTTTTCTTCCTCTTGCAGAGTGAGAGGCCAGGCAGCTGTTTGTAGCAAGATTAATGAGCAAGGGATGTGTCCCTGTAATGTCGGGTAGGGCAGCCTTGCCTCTCGAGAGATAGCATTGGTCTATGCAGGTTCAACATTGTCTCGGAAATCATGCAAGCTACCACTGCTAACAACTTGAAAAAAGCACGGGGCATCAGTGAAGGTGAGTCGTCTTTTTGCTTGTACTTGTGCGAGACTGTATGCCTGTTCATGCAGACAAGCAGTATGAAGCACCAAGTACGGCCAAAGGGGACCTGCTCCAATCGAGGAATCTCTCCAAATACATCAAGCAGGTAGGTCTGTTGTGCCCTTTGCGGTGGTGAACAAGTGCAAGTGACATTGTTTCTAAGGAAAGAAAAATATGAACGTTCTTCAACAACAACGGCGAGCACTGGTCATCAGGACAAAGCCCCAGGTTCTTTGTTATACACTGCGTGTGAACCCTCACTGGCAGAACCATAAGCTGACACAGTGGTTCTGAGAGACGAAGAACGAGACCCTGACGCTGGCTCATGCTTGTACCCATGCCCCTTCTTTCTCCTTCATTCGCGACAGTGGTACTTAGCAGTTTGGCATGGCCAATGGGTGTTAAATAATTAATCTTTCGTGGCATCCTACCAAAGCACTGAGCCGATGTTGGCCTGATAATTTGGTTTTGTCATTACTCCTTAGTATTAAAGCTTTGCCTTTGTATGTGACACATGAAAAGCATAGGTGTTGGAGCATCTTGTCATCAGTGGCTCTGGCAGTATTGGTCTTGGCAAAATAGTTCTAAAGCGACATGCAATGTAAGAGCCTTGAAGCCTTAACATAAAATTGGTAGTGCATTCATGTCACACACTTCGAGCGAGGCCCCACCGATCCATACCTGCCAAATTTTTAGATTTTCCCATGAAATGTACAAATTTCGACTGAATTTATGATTTTACAAATCTTGCCTGAAATTTTACAAAAAATATTTCATTTTCGATAAAAAAATAAAGTTAGTGAAATAGCATGGCCTCCGCTATTGGCTATGGCGCATTGCCGTAGCTAGTCGTGGAGGCCACAAAAATGGCGTTGTGCTATATTCCGCCACCAGGAGAGAACAATATGTATTGGCGTTATCATCATCACATACCTGCCAAGTCTCCCGCATTGTCCGGAAGACTCCCGGATTTCGATAGTTTCTTCTGTTTGTACGTTGCCATGAAAATCTCCAGGAAATTGAAATTTGTGTGCGAGATCTGGCCGCATTGACAAAAATTCAGGTCAGTCCGTTCCAGGCCTTTTGCGAGCCCACTGCATTTTATTATAAACAAATTTGAGTGGCGTTCATCTAAACATACAGCAGAGTCTCAGTGATGCGAAACCGTGGCGGATATGAATTTGTGAAATTCCCCAGCCAAGTTCATGTGTCCATTGGGCCAAAATTCGAATGTTGGGAACACTTTTCCTAATCGCGACGTGTGATGTGAACTTTAGTACTGAAATCGTCAAACGGAGACTGATTAAGAGCTATGTGCTAGAAGCTTTGATAGTACGTGTGCGACCAGCACATGCACTGTCTTCTATAGTGCGTGTGGTTGTTGTCGCCACAACCACTGTGGACGAAACCGAGGTCGTTCAACACGCTCGTGTATGGCGATGACGTGACTGACTGACAGAATTCCGAAAGTGTGCACACGGCCAACGCTCGACCAGTCAAAGCTGCTTTTCAGAAACTCTGTTGACAAAACCGTGGCAGTCGGGACCATAGATAGCATAAAACGACTTAGTTGTGAAGGCTCGTGGATTGAAAACTAAAGCACTATAAGGCTTGTAGATTGAAAACTAAACCACAATTTGCCGAACCGCCGTGCACAAGATCCTGGCTGCAGCGATGCCATAGTGACCGATATATGAGCTCTGAGGGCACGTGGCTGGCGCAGTGGTAGACGAAAGGCGGTAAAAACAAAACAAAAAAAAAAAGATAGAAGAGTTTTGGTGTTTCTGTCCAAAAAATTTAGTGAACAAAGCCAAAGCTTTGACCCTTCATGTGTGAAGACATACGCGAGTTGTTTTGATGGAAATGGATTTTTTTCCTAGTAGCGAGCAAAGCCAAAGCTTTGACCCGCGCTTTCGCGGCAGCTTGTTGCGCCGTTCCGTCCATTCATGTGTGAAGACATACGCGAGTTGTTTTGATGGAAATCGATTTTTTTCTTATTCGGTTTTGACAACGTGAAATTTCGGTTAGCATTTGCGCTCCACTCCCCCTTTGTGACTCTCACATCAGTGGGAAACCTTACCCTCGTGTGTACGGCCACTCCAAGCCATTATGAGACGTCAACACCGATGTTAGCGCTTGCATTTGGGACCCCCCTCTTGTTTTTCGCGATGTTTTTTGGTTTTTTTTGGGGGGGTGTCAAAAATGGGGAACAATAATTCAGCTCGTCGATTTGAATATTTCGCGACAAAACTTGGGCGATTATGCTTGTTGCAAAAGGCAGACCCATCACATTTACAAATTAAAAAAAAAATTGTCGGTAATCCTTCGCCCCTCTTTCCCCGTTCAGGGTTTTACGAATTTCTCTGTTGGCAGGTATGTCGATCTAACAGCGGTGTGCGGCACACTCACAGGCTTCCACATTATGCTATGGATGCCTGAAAAAGCTCGAAGTGGTGCATTTCAAATTCATGTAGGCTGGTCGACCCATGTGGGGTTGCACGTGTATACTCCGTTTCAGAAGTTCCCTTCAGCACTGTGGAGGCTGCAAATCCCTCAGCCAATAAGAAGGGCGCTTAGACCCTTCACATGTATTCATTTGCGCCATGTCGTCTGCTCTTTGTATTTTTTTATTTATTTTATATATAGAATACTGCGGACAAAAAGTCCAAGCAGGGTGAGCATACATGAAACACTCTAAATGACAGATTTAATTTATGAGCTATCATGTGTTCGATAAGCTTACAGCATGATGATGTTAAGGAGATAGGTCGATAATCTTGTAGTACTTGACGGTCACTTATATATATATATAGGAACTATTCGTGAGATTCAAGGTGTCTGCTTATCGAATTGTAGTTATTATGGCTACTTTATTAACTTGAAAATGCAGTAAGGTTATTAAACAAGCAACCACACTGGGAACTTGAAGAAGCGTGAATTTGTTGCTCTGGTGAAGATCGGTAGAATGCAAGGCTGGCGGATAACTTCACTTTGAGGCCGTTTTTCTCCGATGCTGTTCGTGGCTCTCGTATGTCTGTTTCTCCGTCGACGAATTCCTTCGCGTATCCCGCTGCAACGCTCTTTTTCTCTCCTTTTTGTTTCCGCCTAAGGAGGATTCGAACGGCATGGAATGTTGTGGGAGGTGTCAGTCCGATATTTGAAGATCCTGCGTTCTTGGTCTGACGACGCAGTCTGATCACTGCTTCGGCACGTTAAGCTCAGCAGGTGCTGTTCAGCAAGCAGCATATTTCGCTAATATTGACAAAACATACCTGATGCTTCAGTTCCAGATTGAGATGAAACAAATTGATGGCTGATTTCATGATTTATTTACTGCTATCACTGCAGTGGACATGTAGCAAGAGCAAGTCCGGATCGAAGTGGGCGGTCACTTCTGCATTAAGGGCTGCCATGTTGATTTGTAAAAACAGTTATCTGCGGTAACCGATGTAAATAATTGAATTCGTAAGAAATAAATGTGAAGAAGAATAAACATATCATGTATCGACCTGGCATAAAACACACCAAAGAAACGCTAATTCCAGCCAACTCTGGTGACCTAAAAGCACTTGTATGTGTGACTACATTTTGTTGCATCAGCGTTCTTACACCCTGTAGCTTTGGTAGTGCTGAACCAAAGCAGGGAAACAGGGTATTGTGATGTTTGGGTCTGACTCGCATACTCATGGAGTAAACGGGAACCTTTCGTTGCAGACAAACAAGTATTTAATTAAAATAAGGCATTGGCAGGAGTTAACAAAAATCAGCTGCCCCGCCGTGGTAATCTAGTGGCTAAGGTACTCGACTGCTGACCCGCAGGTCACGAGATCGAATCCTGGCTGCGGCGGCTGCATTTTCGATGGAGGCTAAACTGCTGTAGGCCCATCTGCTTGGATTTGGGTCCAGGTTAAAGAACCCCACGTGGTCGAAATTTCTGGAGTTTTCCAATACGTCATTTCTCATAATCATATTGTGGTTTTGGGATGTTAAACCCCACATTTTAGTCATCAACAAAAATCAGCTAAGAGGAAAATCCTAATGGGAGTATGGTAAGGTAAATGGTATATGTCAGTTTTAGCGTAATATCTTGGAAACAGCTACAAGTATTCTCATAAAATTTTACATGCTCACAAAAAATGTCACTGGGTATCAAGTGACCCTTTCTTTATGCGTAGGTTGCTTTTCTTCTTATGGCCCACTCCCAATTTTTAAAGGAGGTTCACTTATTCAATGTACCTTTTCTGTGCAACTACTGAAAGGTATGTAACCATATTAAGCCACGTTGTTGTAGAGGCTCATATATTACATCTGAATTTAAAAAATTATTACATCTTTTATGTAGTCGTGGTAAAAAAAAATAAAAAGACTGCTTGCACAATGTCATGGAGGGTGCGTATTGTTGTGTAATTTTTTTACAGCTTCACTTTTTATGAATTCGACAATTTTTCAAAATTCAGATTGTGTCTAACTCATTCGAGCTCACGCGTAGAAAGTTTCATCGAAATCGGTTTATTACTTTTTGTGAAAAGGGACATTAAGTTGAAAAATGTACAAAAAACGTAATTTGAAAAAAACTAAGTTTTACGTGCGCATACTGCTTACGCCAGAGGGTGCACGGCATTTAAACCACTTGGAGCGGCCGCTCGACGTCGGGCTTCCAGAGGTTTGTTCCTCAGAGTGGAGTGGATGTTTTGGTGTAAAAATTGCAAATTCAATTTTTGGGATGGTTTGCTCTACCATAGCCCCTTGAATGGGCGGGATTAAAAGAACAGCTACCGAATAAACTATGCTCTAAAGAACACTACGACAGGTACTGGCAGACTCAATATAGAAAGTTACTAAAATAAGTAGGCATGATGGAAACTAAGAGACACAAATAGGAATTACAAAAAGATCATGTTCTCGCTTCCGTGCATCTTGTGCGGTGCGGCGCACACAAGCTGAGTATTTAAAGCTGTGTATAATAAAATAAAATAACGGCTAAAAAAGAATCGCAATAGGAGGTTCCAAATAAATCATGCCAGCTTGTGGTGAACGTAGGGGAGTTAACAGGATGCCGCTGATTGTCTCACTAGCTTCGGTAGACGCCCCAGCCAACCTCATTTC